GCTAAGCTGTACACACAACATGAGAAGGAAGCAAAGTAATTTAGATCCCCACCCCAAAGGACTGGGATAGTTGGGGCTAAATTTAACCTCCTCTGAATCAATGGAGTTATTTATACATTTTGGTTTGTATTATACACTTGCCTCTCCTATGAGAGCCTTTCGTAGTGGGGTGGGTGGGGTGGAACTGCACATTGAAGAAACTTCCAAATTCCCTGAAACTTAGGATTGATTAAAACCTACCTTGAGTCCAGATTTGCTATCTGGATATAGGAGATTACATATGTTTTGAAGTGTTATTATTAAAATAAATCATATTAATAGCAAAACATAATTCTACCATTGCCAAATAACAGATGTAGCCCAGTCTTATATAGGTCTGTCCTGCGGTAAGTTCCACCAAAAGGGAACTTTTAGGTATAGGATTGCAGCCTGGGTGGAAATACTGAATCAGAGGTTGAGAGAAATGCTTTTAATAGTAACTTTTTTTATACTTGATATATGACTTGACTTAGGCCAGTTGCTTGAAGACCATTTGAAGTTACAAACAGACTTAAAAAAGACTATTTATAACTTGCCCTGGAAGTTATCATTGCTGTATACGCACTTTTGCAGCAGAGGTGGGTATTCAGCAGGTTTTGACCAGTTCTGGAGAACCAGTAGCGGAAATTTTGAGTAGTTTGGAGAACCGGCAAATACCACCTCTGACTGGAGGTTTTACAGTATCCTTCCCCTGCCACGCCCACTAAGCCACACCCACAGAACCGGTAGTAAAAAAAAATTGAATCTCACCACTGCTTTGCAGTCATGTGATCTCATTTCAGGCATTTTGCAACTGACTTGCGTTTAAGACCAGGAGCAGTGTCCCATGGTAGCATGGCCATAATTTGTGACATTTCTTTTTTTTGTGTGTGTGCTAATTTCCAGCAGAAAAACCCCCGTTCATTGGATATGCTGGATTTGTTTAAGGATGGCATGTTTTGCTTAACAACCAGGTGATTTGCTTAATTACCATGATTATTCACTTTACGACCATTGTAAAATGGTTATAAAATTGAGTCTGGTCGCATGGTGCCTTGACTTCCAATTGCAATTTTTTTTCAGTCAAAATTCTGAGCTCCCCATCATGGTTGTAGCCAAGAACTACCTGTATGAAGACAATCTCAGTTATCCCTACTGATTTTTTTGGGGGGTACTTCCCAAATATGAGTCTAAGCTTTTCTCCAAAAGTATGGAATGATAATAGAACTATAATTAAGCTGCGACCTTAATTTTTCCCATATTCACCATTAGCTAAATAATATACATTGCCAGAACTGACAGTCATGCAAAAAGTACTTAATAAAGAGAGTAATGGTGAGGATTGTATCAGGCTTGTGAAATAGATAGTCCTCGAGTTATGACCACTATTGAGCCAAAAATTTATGTTGGTAAGAGAAACATTTATTCAGTGAGTTTGCCACATTTTATGACTTTTCTTGCCACTATTGTTAAGTGAATCATTTCATTTATTAAATCAGCAACCCGGTTGTTAAGTGAACTTGGATTTCCCCATTGACTTTACTTGTTGGAAAGTCACAAAAGGTGACCCCATGACCCTGGGACACTGCCCCTGTCATAAATGTCAACCACTTGCCAAGCATCTGAATTTTGATCATGTGACCATGGGGATGCTGCCATGGTGAAAAGTGTGAAAACAATCATAGTTCACTTTTTTTTCAGTGCCGTTGTAACTTTGAACATTCACTAATTGAACTCTTGTAAGTCGAGGACTACCTGTAGATGTATTTTCTGCTTAAGCTATTCAGTAACAAATGCATACTCAGATGAGTTTTTAAAAAATGAGCACATTGCTGCAATGGCGGAATATCTTAGCGGAATCATTGAAATGTAAGTGCTAGTGATGGAGAGGAAGAAATTCAGAACAGGAAGGTGAGATAGGCTGATCCTTTGGTTAGGCCAGGAAGTGTAGCTACACATGATGACTGAGGTACAGATATCTCTGTATTACACACACTCCATTTCTTATAGTATGAGTAGGTATAGAGCCACATATACATCATGGCTGCTTTTGCATTTTGTCCTTATCCTGTCATGCTACCAGCTTCTTAGATAAGATAGCCACAAGGCCTCTCACTTCTAGTATTAATGCTGCTCTCTTTTTCATTTCATTTATTTCTTTCTCTGGGCCAGTGGTGGGATTCAATTTTTTTTACTACCGGTTCTGTGGGCATGGCTTGGTGGGTGTGGCAGGGGAAGGATACTGTAAAATCTCCAGTCAGAGGTGGTATTTGCCAGTTCTCTGAACTACTCAAAATTTCTGCTACCGGTTCTCCAGAACTGGTCAGAACCTGCTGAATACCACCTCTGCTCTGGGCTCAGTCTGTATTGGGGTGTCAAACTTGCATCACATGCTTACCCCCAGTTTAACAAAGGGGGGGAAAGTCATGATACATCACGTGATTACAATGTGATATCGCGAGTTTGACACCCATGGTCTCTACCATTGCTCAGTGGAGTTCTTCTTTTCCACGTTGTTTATATTTGAGAGGAATACAGATAAAGAAGCCACAACAGACCACATCCTGCACAGCAGTTAAAAATGCTGAGTTTGTCAGCTGTGCGACGGGGTGAGTTCCCATTACTTGCCCCGGCTCCTTCCAACCTAGCAGTTCAAAAGCATGTAAATGTGAGTAGATAAATAGGTACCGTTCTGTGGGAAGGTAATAGTGTTGCATGTACCTTGTTATAGTCATGCTGGCCACGTGACCATGGAAATGTCTTTGAACAATGGTGGCTCCCTTGGCTAAAAAACACAGATGAGCAGCACCCCTGAGAGGTGGGCATGACTGGACAGGGGAAACCTTTACCTTTAGAACACCATGTGTCTTCCTTCATTTTCTGATTGAAACTGAGGTCCATCTCCCAGGTTGATAAAGACTGTATCCTGAGTATGGTTTGAGTCCAAAGAAAATTAGCAGTCTGAAGGGTGTTTATAATTACCTCCAAATTTTCATTCCTGAGGGTTACCCACTATATCCAAGGTACAGTGAAAGAATTAATAACTGAAGAGCTCTCTTCAGGTCATGTATTATGGCCTACTCTCAAGCCATATCACAATGTCTTAAAGTCTCGGGGTAAGATTTCGACTAATACTTTTTCTTATGTTCTTTTCCCTTCCCCCCTCCTTTGTTGTAATCTTGTTCTCTCTGTGTGTCCTCTTTGTCCCACACACTCTCCATGATGGATTTTGTTTCTTCCTTGGTTGACCTTCTGCTTCTGTACTCTTATCTGCCCTACCTTCATCTCACCTTGTCAGAATACAACGCCAAACTCCGGGACCTCCGGAACAGCATGAAAAGCCCCCATCCTCCTCTTCACCGACAGCGATCCTTCTCCTTTTCTGGTTTGTTCTGTTCCTGCTTTTCCGTCTTTCTCCCTGGGCTTCCCTGCCGTAGATCATCCTGGCATGGCATTGGGCTCTGGCATGAACTTGAAATTGGGGAGGTGCAGCTTTTTTCCATATGGGGGTGGAAGGGTATGGCTAATTTAGAGTCCTTATGGCACCATTCATTTATTCACTAGCTCACTTTTCAGAAAGTAAGGTCTGAGAAATTTATCTTCAGTTTTTTCAGTGTCAGGGATGACTTCACACCACAAATAAGCTCCCCCCCCCATGCAACTACATTTGGAAAGCATATAATAAGTGCATTCACAAAATGGCAGCTTTGCCTATTCACAGTCTTTCATAACTTGTTAAAATATCCCTATGAATTAGAAGTCAAACCTCCTCAGAATAATACAACTATCCTGTTGTATTATTGTGAGACCAAATGCATTCCTGATTCTTGATCCAGTTGACCAGATTTCTTCACCATCCAAATCTTCATCCTCATCCAAAGTTTTTTTAAAAAAAATAATAATAAAGGGAGTAGGAAATCTGATAAACAGACTCTGTAGACTACCATGAATAAAAAATTTCCCATATTTATCTTTCTCAAATCAATGTGCTGACCAGGTCTGGACTCTAAAATAGCCTTATGCATTCCAACATTTTTGTTTCTATCATTGTTTTCTCCTCCTCCTCCTCCTCCTCCTCCTCCTCCTCCTCCTCCTCCTCCTCTTCCTCTTCCTCCTCCTCCTCTTTCTCCCTTTCCTATTCTCTATGACAGTGTGTCTAGTGAGCTCATTGAGGAATCCATTTGCTCTATGTGATGCTTGTCTGTGGTGTGTAGCTGGAATTCACTCACACAAGGTCTGGCTGGGGAGAGCTTGTCTTCTTCAGGGCGACCACTCTCACCATTGCTTTGTGACTGGCACTGGGTCAATATTTCCATACATGTTGAAGTGTGCATGGAACTGATGAAGGGGGAAAGTTTCCGTGGGATTGTTGTGGAAAGAGGCAAAGGTTCAGGAATGGAACATTCACTTTCAATACAGCTTGGCCAGATGCCAAAGTTATTTAAGGGCCTCTATGTGTTCTACAGCACTGTTGTGGCATTTTACTGCAGATCTTTCCACAGAGCCTGGTAGCACTGAATGGAACCAGGATGGAGGCTTCCAGTTCTGCATGGCAAACAGAGGGAGGGTGAGCATGCGGGTGTGTAAATTATAGAAGTTTCGATTCACAAGGGCCACTCTGGGGGAAAAGAAGCTGTCAATGGATTTCAAAAGTGCAGTTGCTTCATAATGTCCTGTTACATATTGGGGGATATGCATGGGACAGCAAGCTTGAAGTTCTCCAGAGAAGAATGACCTTTTACTGGAAGTTCCTTTTCAGCAGTTGGGAGTCCTGAATATTTCGTTGTTATGTTTCAACTTTTTTTTTTTTTTTTTTACTATTCTTGGTATATAAATGTTTGCGGTTAGTTTTGGATGATAGTTAGGAAGGACTGGTTCAAAAATCTGTGTTGGGTTGTGTCAATCTTTGTGTTAAGTAAGACGGAATACCATTTGAACAGAAGATGCTATTGATTAATCTGTTTAATTTGTACCAATTACAGGATACTTGGCCCTTCTGAATCCACCCAGCTCTGTCCCTACAGGTTTGGAATTTGAACTCCTGCAAAATTTCACAATGCTTTAGTTGATTTGGAAAGTGGCTTTTTGCTACTCCACTCTTTGCTTCTGGAGGGCCTGCGGGACAGCAATCTCTGCTTGTCTGACAGACAGCTCCAGGCTCTGCTTGTCTGAGAGACAGCTCCAGAATTAATGCAAAAGCATGCTGTATTATGCCTGATAGCCTGTCACTTTGGCTTCTGGCCTCACTGAGGAATGAAGATGTATACGTACAAACCTCACTCCCCTTTCCCCCAAATTTTGAAGGAGTGGAAGGGAATCTGGAATGGCCACCACTGCATGCATGATTTATTTCACACTTTGGGGTGCTGTGTTTTATAGAATATTGTTAGAAGGATGGAAATCATTCATATGTTGGGAAAAAGCCTCAGCACTAATGAATAACTCTGTGATTCCCAAAGATTTGCCTAAATGGTATTATCTCTTCTACTGAGAAGCATTAGTATTCCTGGGGTGCGGGAGGGTGCCTACTATGAGTGAATGAATGGTTGGCTGCTCTTATGCTAGCCACATTTCTCCCCAGCATGAGTCCAACCTTGCTAATCTCTTGACTGCTCAAAAGACTGGTGAAGGCAGATCAAGGTATACATTTGTTGCTGTACTGTAAGGGTTCTCTCATAAATACGGTAAAATATTCTATTTGTTTCCTTGCGAGTCAACAGTGCTAGTAAAGATGCAATAGCTAACCTTCCCTTTCTGGCCAGCAGATGAACACTGAAATGTCACATACAGTTGGTACTGGAAGGCCTGGCACTTCCTCACTTTCATGCAATTCCCCCTGCTACTTGTAAACATAGTAAAATAATTACACTGCTGGCATCACTGTGCATTATGGAGGGAAGCCAACACACTCTGCTATGAAGAATTTTTGCAATTACCTGCTTTTGACTCGGCCATCATACTAAGGTCCAACAAGCTGGGAAGCAGGGCGAACCAGACGGCCCCATCAGTTTGTTCAGGGCTAGAAACTAGTGCAAAATCTAGTTGTTTCTGCTACAAAGTTCACTGCTTGCAAACTAAAGTTTCCCATTTTCAAGAAACCACATGTCTGATGGAGGAAACCAGGACCTGGTGCACGTAAGTGTCCAGTAACAGTTTTCTGAGTGACATGAGGCTCAACCTGCTCTTCAAGCAGATGTGAAACAACATCTGGTAATTCTGCATTAGTTACCAATGGTCATGGGAAATTCACAGTAATCTAAGAGTTTAGTCCTGTTTTATATCTCTTCTTTATTATTCCTTAGATAAATTACTTAATTACATCATACCCTGGCTTGGTTCATCCTTACACTAAGCCAATGTCTATTGTTGGTTTACTGAAATGTGTGGATCACCCCATTATGATTTAGTACAATATTAGGGGTGAACAAGCCATTGTGGCCTGTTAAAAAGCAATCATGGTTTAAAAACTATCCTTGCTGCTCATTCGTGAGACATAGCACAGAGATAACTCATCAAATACTGTGTTTCCTGTAAAATTTAGCAATACTTTTAACGTCAATCTAAAAACAAGGAACACTGTCAATATTTATCATTAAAAACAACATTAGCTTTTCTTTTCAGTTTAATCCGGCAGAGGAAAACTAATCAAGAGACTTTCTCTCTGAGGGTACTGTTATTCTGGAATTCCATCTTGCTTTTTATACTCTCATTTTAGATACTGTGGAAACTCTTCTTCCTGTAAGGATTATTGTGATTGATTTTACTATTTCTCATATGCTATTTGACGCTGCTTATTTTTAATGCATTTTTATTACTGTTCTGTTTTGCAAAAACCACCTTTGGAGAAATGTTTATTTTTAAAGACAGGAAACAGGTGAGGGACTCAATGGTGTTAATTGTACTTATACACTGCATTTCCTTCAAGGAATATATCCTCCTCTCCCTTAGAGAGGGTGATTGGCTCAAGGTCATGCAATGTGTTTGAGGACTGAATCAGAGGTGGTATTCAGCAGGTTCTGACCAGTTCTGGAGAACCGATAGCGGAAATTTTGAGTAGTTTGGAGAACCAGCAAATACCACCTCTGACTGGCCCCGCCCCCATCTATTTTCTGCCTCCTGAGTCCCATCTGATAGGCTGGGTCTTCTTTTGTTGCTCTGCATAGGAGAAGGGGGCTGGAAAGCAGGTTAAAGGGATAGGAAGGGAATGGGATTTTGTAATATCCTTCCCCTAGAGTGGGGTGGGAATGGAGATTTTACAGTATCCTTCCTCTCCCATGCCCAACAAGCCACGACCACCAAGCCACACCATGCCCACCAAGCCACGCCCACAGAACCGGTAATAAACAATTTTGAATTCCACCATGGGTTGAATGATATTTGAATTTCAGTCTTGCCTTCGGCTGCTTCTAGATGTGGTACTTATTGTGAAATTATCACGACGAAGAGGAAAGTGAGTTATACAAGATCAACAGCCATTTATAACCCTCATATTTTCCCTGATTTGCTTTTGCAAATTTATTTTTTTTACTTTAAAGACTGACCTTTTTTCCCCGAGAAGGACAAAAGGGTAATGGTTCCCCTAGGTAGATAGATGTCCAAACTTCCATTAATCTGTCCTTTTAAACTGTCTTTTAAAAAACTGAAAACCTCTCTATAGTTCACGATGCCATTTAAACGAGTGTTAACACATTTTACAACTTCACAATTAAGTGCTTTTTCGATTCCCTGCCATTTCACTGATTACACCAAATCTCATATTTTCTTTTTTTGCACTTATACACCTCACCAGTTCTTTTGCTTTCTGTAAAGTCCACTGTTTAGTTTGAATTGTACCTTCATAAATTGAGGTTCAGCCACCAATATGAAACCAGACCAAAAAAAAAAAAAAAACATATTACAGAAGGAATGTCTCCTATGTGTACAAGTGTGGGTTTGTGAATTAGACTTCTGTTCTTTTCTGTAAACACCGCACCCCCCCAAAAAAAAGAAGCTTATTTTGAGAATGAAGGAGGTGGTCTTGGCATCTCTGCTAGAATGAATGACAGAATAAGTTTTTATAGAAAATGTACTTCAAAATATTTTTGAGAACTGTACGGAATCAAAAAAAGTATAAAATAGGATTATTCAGTCCTATTTTGCAGTTCTAGTTATTAACTAGGAGTGCAAAATAGATTTTTCCCTGTTGCCCTTCTGAATACCAATTAGCTATTTTCACATCCAGCCAAGTTAGTTTCTCTGGAGTGTCTGTCTGGTTATTGTTGGAAGTAATACACCAGATTAGATGGACCTGTGGTCTCATCTACTGAAGCTGCTCTGATGTTCTTAGAAAACCCTTTACATCATTAGGTTGGACTTTCCTTTCTACCTAAATGAGAATAACATAAAACATACATATGATTTTATCACACTTGGATACAATTACATGGAAACTTTTTTTTGCTTTTGCCATTTCTCACTGTATTTACTCTGTCTCTGGAATCAGAGTTATGCAAAGTCTTTTAAGAAGTGGGAGAGAGGAAGAAACAGAAAAGTTCAGCAATCCATGCTGCCTCTGCTATTTCATGTGCTTGTATTCCTTGTTTTAGACAATGATAACACAGAGAGCACTTCAGTTAATATGTACACCAGCCTGCATCATGCCTAATTGGCTACAATAAGTAGGTATTTCCCAGAGTCTTTTGTAGTACAGCTTGAAATTGCTTCCAAAATCCAAAGTTTAATCTTCCTTCCTTCCTTCCTTCCTTCCTTCCTTCCTTCCTTCCTTCCTTCCTTCCTTCCTTCCTTCCTTCCTTCCTTCCTATCTATCTATCTATCTATCTATCTATCTATCTATCTATCTATCTA